CCCAGCACGTTTCGAATCCATCTACGTGCCACTTCCTGCACTTCTACTACGTTCTGCTTTTAGTACCAGTAATTTCTTTTTTGCCACCTTTCCAGTTTTTCGAGGTTACGACTCCCCGCGACCCTTTGGCCAGAATTAGATGGGATCTTAAATCCTCGTCGATCTTGCGATATTTTATCTATCGTTTTGGTGAAATCGATGGGTAAAACTGTCGCGTGAAAAATTTCATCTCCCCGGGGGGACGGATCGTTTTAAATTAATATCGACCAATGGCGTTCGTGGAGAAATCGAAAAAATTGTAGACTTCGTTCGGGGGAATTATTTTGCTTGCAAAGAAAGGTTCTCAAAACAAGAAAACAGTCGTTTTGCGACGAGTTTCGTTGGCGGAATAGTTGATCCCCGTAAGTGGAAATTATTTTGCTCGAATCGAATGAATATTCAAACCGATATTGACGCGTGTCGAACGTGTGACAGCCAATGTAATATTATTGGAAAATTTGATCTCTTTAAGGGCGAATAACGTCGCTTGAATTGAACAGAATTTTGTATATGATATAGAACTTTGATATTAATCAATTTATCGATCTTGTTAATTTTTTAAATTTAACCCATTCAATCAAATAAAAATTCAAATCAATTCGTGGCATTTATCAATATTCTGACAGAAACTTCAACCGTTATTTACTATATCTTGTAATAATTTAACCCATTTAATAAAAATTCAAATCAATTCGTGGCATTTATCAATATTCTGGCAGAAACTTCAACCGTTATTTACTATATCTCGTGACATGTTGTGTCTCTGAAAAGTTTAATCTCTTTAGAGTCGAATTATATTGCATGAAATAACCGTATCATCGAGTCGTATGTAAATTAAATTAAAGCCCCTCCAGGCTATATAGAGAAAATACAATATATATTATCGAAATATTATTCGCTGTAGTGCCGCATACTCAAATTGAGGTCAAACAAAAATGCAAACTGATGTCGATACCATAATGGTCCTGTCATCATTATTCTATGTCATCGATAAACTTAATCACGAATATTTATTCACGATTTTAATCATATTTTTTTCATGCTGCAATATTTTAAATTAATCATCCGTGGCTCGACCAGGACGAACGATCAATTCAATTTCAGCAGATTGTGCTCTAAAATTGCCCAGATTTTTAAATGTTAAATCGATACAAAATTAGAGTTTTTAATAAAAATAATAGATATTCGAATCTTGGTTAGTGCATTAACAAAATAAATATATCATATTACGTTGTATTTTTCATTTAAAATTAATCACTCGTGGCTCGACTAGGACGAACGATCAATTCAATTTCAGCAGATTGTACTCTAAAATTGCCCAGATTTTTTAATGTTAAATCGATACGAGATTAGAGTTTTTTAATAAAAATAATAGATATTCAAATCTTGGTTAGTGCTTTAAGAAAATAAATATATCATATTATGTTGTATTTTTCATTTAAAATTAATCACTCGTGGCTTAACTAGGACGAACGATCAATTCAATTTCAGCAGATTGTACTCTAAAATTGCCCAGATTTTTTAATGTTAAATCGATACAAAATTAGAGTTTTTAATAAAAATAATAGATATTCGAATCTTGGTTAGTGCTTTAACAAAATAAATATATCATATTACCTTGTTGCTTTTTTTCGTAAATGTCGCCAGTATTATCCGTTAATTTAAATAAGATCCTTCGTGTTGAGAATGTCGGATCGATTCCTTTTTCCATCAGGTTTCCATGTGGACTCAATTTGCCATCGATCCTTGTCATTTTTACATAATTTTACGTCTCCTCAATAATATCGAGTGACATTGAACCGGCCATGCGATAGTCACTCCCTCGGGGGATCTTATTAAGCTCGCCGGATAATACATTACTAACTTTACAAAAAATTGCAATGCACACTCTCTTCCAGGCTCGTAAAACCGAGAGAAATAATATTAAAAGTTACTTTTATAAGTATCAACAATACTATAACACTTCAGGTTAATTTTCATTCGTCGATATTTACACAATTTGTAACAAAAATTTTCTTTCACAAGTGGAACTTCTTAAGAGTTTTTTTTTATTCTTCCCCCGGATAAATATAGCACACTACACGTCGACTATATATTTTAGGGACGAAAATAAAATGGCGATGCAGCGAAGGGTTAAATTCGATGCCCTGGATAAGGGTTTTCAATAGATTTCTTCAAGGGTGGTTCTTTGTCGTAGTAACGCACGTGTCAATTTACAGAAATAATCAATAAATCTATCGACTCAACAGAGAAGTAGCTGAAAAATATATAAAAAATTTTTTTGTAAATATATATTCCTCTCAAAATTAACTCGTGTCGAAGTGCAATATGCAATTTGTTTCTAACGAGAAAAGTGTAAAAATAAAAAGAGTAGATTTTCGATTAAAACTTCGGCGCATCAACGAATTTAATTTAAAGGATTTAGTGCACGTCGTCTCATGAATTTTAAAGGCCCCTTTATTATTCATACTTTTCTCTAATTACCGTCTGTATTCCCGATTTATTGTCCCACGATTCTCTTCCCCGCATCACGAGTGTATTATCGTACAATATTAAGGTTTTACGAATAATCCTCCTCTTGTCTTTCAATTTACTGTACATTGAATTCGTTACTCACGGGACTTCCGCCTTTTGTCTCGACAGTTTTAAGGAACCTCTGATTGCCTCTTGAGCTCTTTTATTCCTCGTTCTTGTTTCGTGCTTCAAGGTTTTATTATTTACGCCTCCACTGTATCTACACTATGAATTTAAGATCGTTTCTTCTCGACTTCTATCGTTTACCCCGCGAGCCTTCGAATTTCACAAATCTGCTCACTCTAATAAATTCTATAACGCACTGGTGGCGTCGCCTCCCATGCTCGCCACCAGAGGGGTCGCGCTCTCACAAGCGCTCGACCGACCCCTCCGTTGCTATATGTATATACACTCCTCGAACGACTTCCCAATATCCCAGTCGTCTAAGGCAGGGCCTGCTAGAAAGCCTTACTGATGAGTCCACTGGCAGGCCCGGACGAAACGCGCCCCCTCCTTTCCTTTTCTGCCTTCCTACGAATTCTCACGAGTTCCCTAACCGCAGCGAAGCAGCCCCACAGCACCAAAGAGCTCACGATTCTGCATTCTGCAATTTCCCAATTCGACTTCTCGAATATTTATAAAAATTTTCACGAAAGTCAGATTCCATTTTCCAAGTCCCAAAGTTTTATTCTCGGAAGCTTTTGAGTGACTGCGAATTTCCCTCGGATTCCCTCCGTTTTTCTTATCTCGGCGAAAACCGAGTCCAGCCTCTCGAGGATCCGCGTTATTCCTTGCTCTTAACTTCATCAGTCTGCCGGTAATCCGAACGCGTTTTCTCCAGCTCCCTCTCCCGATGAATCCGGATCATCGATCCCGATTTCGATCAAATTCGTTCCTTGCTTCTCCACCTGAGCGTTCCTTCCATTGTCCGCGATGTCGTTCAACTAATTCTCAAGAGTTCGTTGTAAATTACTGTGCACCAGGTTCTTGTTCAACTAGATACTGGACCATCGAGGCAAATAAACTGTAATTCGAGTAAAACTCAAGATAAAATTGGGCGGCTTCTAGACAGGAAGTCATTTCAAAGGCTTCGTCTTAAATTAAGAGTTACATTTCATTGGTACCACTTATCCCTCTAGACTAAATACTCTCGATCAAAACACTTCCCATTCAAACAATTCCCATATGAAATACTTGCCACAGCAGAAATAATAACAAAGTTACAAATGAATGTGTTACGCATATTACATTTTCTATATTTACGAAAATCTTCTATAACTTTGTCATTTTTGCGAATTTTATTTTAACACTACCGACCCATAGCTTATTAATCGGTTGTCATGAAAACAAAAAATATCACTAGATTTAATTACCCTATAATAACGGAAAGAGAACAATATAGTAACCACTGTCGCAAACTTTCATTTAACATTCCTATAATTACAAGAAAAAGTAGATATATAATCTAGGGTCAATCAGTAAGTAAAGTGTTAATTTTATGGTGATTCTTAAAACCCCTAAGCATTGAAAAAAGATAAAGGAAAAGAATTTCGATTTTTTCAATCCGTCACAGTGGTTTCACCCTTTAACCCTTTGCACTCCTATATCGAGTATGATTCGACATCAATTTTTATCCCAGGAGCTCCTTCGTCAAGTCCCACTCGACATTTTTTCAGTGTAATTAACAGTGTAAATAAAACAGATATTTTAACAGGTAAATTTCAAATAAAACACTCAAAAGCTTTGGGAGCTGCTGGTAACAAGATTGAAATATAATTCGGAGTGCAAAGGGTTAAGACTACAACCATCCCCATTCGAAAATCACGACAATCAATTTTAAAAGGTGGAAGAATCTTGTAGGGGAATTCTACGGGGGGTGAATCGGGGATAAACTGGGATTCAACCACCCGGATAACGATTAGGCTAGCCTTTGGGACTCCCGGGGTAAATCAAACTCAAAATTGTTATTTTAGACCATTGCAAGCTACATAACCTAAAATTTATTTCACTACTTATTTTTGCAACCTTATTAAAATTCATAACTTCTATCTAAATTTATTTTTCTCAGTGTCTTAACTTGAGAATTAATTATTCTGGTATCATAATGGTAAATCCTGTCGCCCATATATGGGTGATATTGCAGTCAAAGTGTTAAAAGGTGGAAGAATCTTGTAGGGGAATTCCACGGGGGTGTGAATCGGGGATAAACTGAGAATCAACAACCCGGATAACGATTAGGGTAGCCGTTGGTACTCCTGGGTAAATCAAACTCTCGTCAGAACTCGCGGTGGTGGACCTCACTCACCCCCACGGGCGATACTGAGCGAGCCATCCCCACCGCTGGCGCGCTACCGGATCGAGGCAACCCCCTCCCCCGTTGCATGGAGCACGCTTCCGTCTCGACCGTCCTTACCAGCGGAACCAGTCGTAGTTCGAAACCCCTAGGAGACCGATCGAGGGCCCGATACATCCTGGACGAAGACACCTGGCCACGAGTCGACGGATCGCCCCGTGGATCCTTGGCCATGAGCTCGGCCCCGGAAGCATGCAGGTGGGTCGCTCGATCGCACCAAACGCGTCCTGTTTCCGCGTGACCAGGTCGAGTTCGTCGGGTCAGCTCCTGGGGTGAGCGTCATCCTTTTCGTCGAACGTTCCATTAACGACTTTTGGGCCACCTCGAACCTCCCAAAACTCACACAAAGCAGTTTGAAAAAGGAGTTATTTCGATTTCGATACTTATGGAGAGATTTGTAGATTTCATTTGGAATCGAGAGTTTGTGAGTTTATCACTTGGAAAGTTAGAGTGGATTTTATTTCAGTTTTTTTGTTTCGATCTTTAGGTGTATATCGAGAGTGTGTGTTTAGTCCGTTTTTCGGTTTGACTTCACTGTTCCAATGAAAAAGTGATCGAAAGCTCCTTCAATCCAGGTGCTTATGGAGACTGTATGGAATGTTTATGTGTAAACTGTGATTTGTGATTATTAATTGTCGATTTAACCCGCGTCCAATTTTTTATTTGGTTTCTAGATACCTTTAGATAAACTTGAAGAGACGTTATTGTCTCCGATCGGATATTAGAGGTCTTTTGTTTCGAACGTGTGCAATTTTTGAATTTGGAAATTCCAAATTTGCGACTATTTTAGCATTCTGGATATCCTTGAGTTGTCATCCCTGTTCGATGGGACAGTATCTAGGTTGTCGAGGGTGGTCTCTCCTTTAGGGGTTCGAAGGAAAAATTAATTGCAAAATACATCGAAATTTGACGGAGTACTTTTGGATATTGCGTTGAATATTTATTTTCTGCAGATTCAATTTGCAATTAAGTCGTTTAGTGATTCAGTGTGGGTAGCCTTTTTCACCAAAACTGTTTTGAACGTTCTACGTTTACTCTCTGCATTTGACTTTCAAATAAGCTCCGCGTTCGTGTGTGTATCCTGCGCGGATGTAAACTGTCCGCAGACGTCTTAATACGAGTTTATTATTCAAGATCGAGGGGTTTATTCCAGCAACGAATCGTTTTTACCAGTCCACTGGAAATTTAACAGGAGCAAATTAGCCGAGATAAGTTTGGAGAGACTTGTTGATCGATTCTAACGGGTCATCCGTTGAGACGAACGCCGAAAGGTCCTTTCTCTGCTCGCGAACGACCCAAGATAGGAAAGTGAATTCTAAAATTATAATTCGAAATCACCTAAAAATCACGAGTTAAAAATTGGCGAACTTGTTGGTTATCATAGCAATTAAATTTCAACTTCTAGATCCAAGATACTCGTTTTTACTCTTTCGAAAGACAAACTACTTACGTAGGAAATAAATTGTATTTCTTCTAGTACTTTCTAGGGATCGCGAGATAACGAGATCTCTCGAGGGATAAAAAGTTTAATCGTCTAAAGTCCGTCTCTCCCAGTTAAAAATTAAATTTATTCGCCCCTGAATAGCTATCTTTACCTTTCAAATGTTTGGCGCAAGTTTCGTTTTATCGTACTCTGAAACATCATTTGGTAAACGGCGAATTTTACTGTCAAAGTTCGCATATTCTTATCGTTTATGGATACCAGTCATGCATACTTTAGAACCTGATATTGATTCCTGCTCGTCTTAAAACATTTTATTCGGCCAAATTGATTTGAACTTCGTCCAATTCTGTCTTTACTCGCTATAAGAGTCGTTGGTAATCGCCTCGATAGTTTCCTGTCTTGAATGTTTCATTCGCGAATAAAGAATAAATTGATCGTATGAATTTTGCTAAAAAATGGTCGACTACTTTTTAAATACACGCGAAACAGGGGTTTTTTCGTTTCCAGTTTCCCTCTCGAATACCACAGATGCTACGAACAAAGAACGAAAAGAGGAAGTCCTTGATAAAAGCGACCTTCGATCGTTTTCCTAGGGATCTTGAGGCTCTGCACACCCCCGTGACTCACTGGCTCGGTTTTCGAATGAAAAGGGTGGCGGTTCGTCGAGGTATAATGAGATTCTCTTTCTCTTCTTTTTTCGGTTTCGCTATCAGAGCGAAATAACGTCGAGTGATGCCTCCCGTATTCCCTTTGAAAACATTCGGGGCATCAGCGCCGCTACGGGCTACTCTGTAAACGACATTTTTAATTAATTTCTGCAAGAGTGTAACGCTCTCGATACACCCCCTATTCTGACACAACATTATCCACAGAAATGAGGAATAAATTAGAGGATTTGGTCCTGAATCTTTCAAACTTAAAAGGTGTTCTATATTATTTTTTGGGATTCGTTAAACGTTCTTGACTTGTACAATTATAATATACAAGTTACATACTTTTAATTATTCGTATTCGTACGCTATAATATGCTGGATTCGTTAAGAAACTTATTAGGAAATTCTTTCCATTTATTTTTTAACCAAATGTTTGTTTGTTTATTATAATGTGTTACTTCTTTATATTTATGTATATTGCTTTTTTTCGTTTTTTAAATGGATAAGTAATGGTTAATTATGAGCCCTATAGAGAAATATTAATTTAAACCAGTTTAAAAATCATCGACTCGTGTGTTTTTTTTCTCAAGCGGTCACCCATCCTGGAACTGCACGCGACCCAATGCAGCTGCACTTTTTGATAGATCGGACGACAGTCTATCCAGCATTCCACAATCGCTGACAAATTTTATATATAATTTAAACCTTTAATATCTCAATGTATGAAAGAAATAGACTTGCACCAATTTCGAAAACAAGTTTCTTTTTTCATTTATAGCGAATAATGTACGAATACAAGTGTATATCGATGAGACTCTGTTCGACTATTTCGAACACAGAATAACCGTTCGCGTTTACTCGCTACTTTTCGATTTGAATTTTATTTACACGCAACAGGCCCATCTAAAATAAAAAAAAGTCAGTACTCCGGAGGATGTTGATTCCCTTTTCTCCGTTTTGCCGTCGAATCGCTGCAGAGAATGTTTGAACGGTTCGAGGGCGTCAAAGGACGAGCGAAAATTGCATCCCCTCGTTACGAAGGACTTCACGAAATCCAAGCCAAAAGTGAATGCCTCTTTCCCCGCCACCAAACGCGACATCACGAAGTTAGGCGAAAGTTGATGGCTCCCTTTGACATTTTCACTCCCTTCGGTTCCGAGGGCCGCTGGATTTCAATTAATTCTTCGCGCCAGTGACCAGCAACTTTTCTATTACCCTCTCGTACAGTATTCGATCGTTAGATTTCTATTCTTCGTCATGAGGCTGTAAATAACGCGAAAATTTTAGATAACAAATATAAATTTCTTCGTTTAAGATTTCACGCGAGATACGCTTGATCTCTACAAATAAGTATAATTTCTCTCGGAGAGGCGTCGGGACGGGGCAATTTTCTCGGTGCAATTGACTCTTAAAAATTAATCGAACGTCGACGGGGGTGTTTCCGTTTACACGCGTGGAGGTGTCGTGCTGGGAAAAGCAACCCCTTTTTTCCTTTCCTTCATCGACCGTGCCCGTGTCAAGGCCGTAGCCAAGAATCTTTCAGTCACGGTCACGAACATCGTTCTCTGTCTGTTCGACACGCTTTGCAAATCATTAGTCGCGATTAGTATCGAGTAATTTTTCAATAAATAACAGCCAACGTCACCCAAAGTGCACAGAATAATTTGGGCTGCTACGACGACACTGTGCTGGTAATATCGGGAATTATTAAACCGATGCATAAGTGAACGCACAATTTCAACGGGTAATTGAAATATGGGGGAGAAACTATAAATACTAGTTCTCCAACCGGTTGGTGGAATAATAGAAAATGTGAAAACAACAGCGTTGAAAATGATTTCTTAACCCCTTAACGCTCATGCCCGAGTCCGACTGCTTTGAAAAACGATATTTCTTTAATCTAATTGTTTAAGGGATGACAATATTTGTTTTTCTTCAAATTATACGTCGGACACAACATTGTAATTAACAAAAACCGCATTTTTATACAACTTGAAAACAAATCCGACAAAGAAAACTGATTATTCTTGGTTAACCCGAAAAATATGAGCGTTAAGGGGTTAAAATCGTTCGAACACCAACGATATAAGTCTCGAGTTTTTTCTGTGTTTGGTACGTCGGTAATAAACAAACGAATGTTTCCACTTTGCCCGGGGCGCTCGAGACCAGCCTGGAAAATTTATAATTTATCAGGCCGCTGATAATGCGTCCTGGATGCAGCGAAGAAAATATTTATCCCCGTTTCAGCCTCGCTGCGAACTTTTTAATATTCCCCCGGGAACCGACGTTGCACGATTAATTAATTCCCCGGCAGTTTAATACGGCAGTCGCGAAATTTTTAATGCACTGTCTCGCGAGCGGGGGAGACGCGTGAGATTAATTTTTAGCTCGGGGGATTAAGTCCGACAAATTAATCTCGAATCATTTTTTTCCCTTTTTTTAGAACACGGACCACTTTACACGGTATAATTTCTGGCGAAATTCGTGCTCCATTTTCGTTCCACGCGACTACGAAATTATCGAGGCCGTTTACGATGTTACGGGTTTTCTCAATTTTTTTTTATTCAATTCTGTGAATATTTATTTCTGTTTAGAAATCACTTTTTTCAATTTCAAAACGATTTTGTCCAGAGAGGGACGCATAATGGTCGCGATGGTGGAAGATACAATTATCTTCTCGCGAGGCTATCGATATTTTCGACTAAATTATTACAATCACGACGTGTACACAATAGCTTTACGAAGCTCTCACTTTATTCGATTCCAATTGTTCGATGTATTTGTCCACGTGTGCAGACGTGCAACAGTGACTATTCTAACCCGCAACAATGGCGCCATTGTGGTATTCTGGAGTATCGTGAATTCCCACGAGAAATATTTGTCGTGAGATATGAAAACCGTACAGAAACGAAAATTGACAGATTCGTGACAAATGATTCTCGGATAAAGGCCAGATCGCTTTTTCAAAATGATCTCTCGAAATACGTTTATTTGACAAAAGTTTTGTTCACGATTTTACTGTTCTTTTAACAGAATGGTAATTATTAAAATTGCTTTGGGAAGTGTTCCTCTAATTTGCTTCGACCTAATGATTACGAGAT